ATCTGGCTCTCCTTGTACATGAACAGTATGACGCCCAGCACAATGGTCAGCACACAGCCATATCGGGTCCAGCTGTACGATTTACGTCCAATWAGCACGCCCAGAATCATAACCGGAATCGGCTTCGCGGATTTGCCCACCACGGCTGTGGGATAGGGTACCCAGCGCAGTGCCATGTTAGTGGATACCATGGCCAGCAGATAGGTCAGCGAGCAGGCTGCATAGTAGCCGGTGTGTGTGGTGTCTTCTTTCTGGGGCTTTACAGTTAGCATGCCTGAAGAAAAGAAATAATAAGAGACTTTGTGGAAATTTACACTAATTAAGGAGACTTACCTTTGGCAAATAGATAATTGCAGAGACATTGCACCCAGACGAGGGCCAGTGTATATGTGAACCGTTCACCCGTCTTGCCATCTGGTTGCACCTGGTCGCCGTACCGGCCCCGCGTTAGTTTCTCTTGAACAATTCCGTAGAGAAAGTACGTGAAAAAGATGCCAAAGGCGTAAATTGCGAAACGACTCTGTTCTGGTACTTTCATCGCAATGGCAAGACGTCTTAACACTTCTATTTTTCAACTCTGTACTTAAAAATATTTATGAAACACTTGGCATTGTGTTTTCAGTTGTTAAAATCTGACTTGGTACAACTAATTCTAATACGTGGATTTTAGAGATGGYTAAAAGTCGCAAYAAATGTCAACGTGTTATCGATAAGAAACGAGGGCTGATATAACAGGGTTTCTTTGCAAATCAAAACGATATATTTTTAATTGAGCGGGTATGTTTGAAAGCAAATTAATTAACTTAATCCTGGGATAAACAAATTATAGAAATATCCACTTAAGTTTCCACTAGAAAAGATGTCATTAGAAATTGAATTTCGTTTATTTGGTTTAAAAATATGCGTGTAAAATATACTAAACTATATAACGTTGCTCTTTTGTTTGTAATGCACTTAAATTGCTTCATAAATCCATACAAATACTTCAACATATTGAGTTGTTTTTTCTTATGCTTATAAATAAAAAAAAAATATGCATATACATATATATCCAAATATTAGCTGGTAATGGTAATGTTTTKTAAAATTATAAATACAAGTCAAAAATTAAACAACAACAAAAAGGCATTAATCAAAATAAGCAACAGTTGCAGTAAATTGGTGAAGCGACTAGAGCTTAAAGACTAA